CCACATGACAGTTCAACTGTCTATAACTCCAAGATCTGACACCCTCACACAGACAAATATGCACATAAAATAAAAATAAATCAATTAAAAAACTTGGAGACCAATACAAGAGGGAAATTTACTGATTAGCACAGAGGGAGTTGTCTCAGCAGAGTTAAGAGCATTGCCACTTCTGCTGCCTGCCCCTTCTCAACACCGTAACAGCTTCAGGTAACCCCCTTCTTATATTCCTGGCTGCCTTGATGTGGCCAAAATGATCATGCTTGGATTTATGTTGTTGTCAAGATTTATCTTTATTTTATAAAATGAGTGTTTTGCTTACATGTATGCAAGTGCATGCCTGTAGCCCACAGAGGCCAGGAGAGGCTGCTGGAGTCTCCTAGAACTGGAGTGACAGCTGTCAGCCGCCATGTGGGCACTGAGATGGAACCCCAGTTCTTTCCAAGAGCAACAATGCCTTTAACTATCACTCCATGTCTCCAGCCGCGTGTTTATTTATTGTATATCTGTGTGAGTGTGTCCAGTGTCGCAGTGTGAGTGTGGAGGTCGGAGGACAACCTGTGGAAGCTGTTTCTCTCCTATTACGTGGGTTTCGGGGATCAGGCTCCGATCATGTGAGCGAGAGTCTCACTGTATCCCTGGCTGGCTCGGACTTACTATGTGGACCAGCCTGGCACAGACCCTCCTTTGCCTCTGCCTCTCAAGTGCTGGGATTGAAGGCCGAATGCCTTCAGTTCTTCACCCTTCAGGGCCACCTTGATTTAGAGACAGGTGTTATGTAGCTCAGGCTAGCCTTAAAATTGCCTCAGTGCTAGAATTATACTACCTAGACACAGTAGTATTTTTTCTGCTTGGTTTTTAACTTTTTATGCTTTGACAATTTCATACATGCATATATTTTGGTCCCCCCCCCCCCATTACCTTGTCTTATGCACTCGTGGGTCTTGCATGGTAACATCTTTGACTGGAGCCCCTCCCCTGCTCAGTCAGCAGACCAGTGACTATTTCAAAATGGATGTCCCTTTTACCCCAACCTCCTCCTTCCTGTGTTCTTCAGCGTCCAGTCTGTTCTTGCTACGGTCTTGCCTCCCCCAGTGGCCATCTGTTCTGCAGCAAGGAAGGCCCTGGAGAGTCCTGTCCTCCTTTCCCTAGACGCCTCACCTGTGGTTCTGGGATGCCCAGTATTGCTCTGTAATTGGACTTTGCCCCAATCTGCCTTATATTTGTACAAATGTGACCTCTCCAGGGTGAGCAGTCCTTGAAGCCAGGGGCCTGGCTTACACGTTTCTGTGTCCTGCCTGTATTTTAAATCCTAAGGATACTCAGGAAATAGCTAAAAGCTCATCTGTGCCCAAAACCTCCAGAGCCCACACCCCCACCTTTGGTCTGTCAAATGAGGGTGGCACTGTCCCATGCAGCGTAAAAAGAGGAGCGAAGCTGAGAATGAGCCGCTGTGGCTCCTGGGTAGGCACAGTGACCAGCTGCATCTTCCAGCTCCTGCCATCGGGCAGACTATGCTCTCAAGCAGTGCCCAGACAACCTTTCCTTAAAGTTGTTTCTGTCGGAACTTTGTAACCGAGAAAATGTGACTAATGCAAGGGCATATTCCCAAGGGCGTAGAGTCGCCACATCCCAGTGGCACTGGGACTGGAGAGCATGCTTTTGAGATAAACCTTTAGGGGACACTTATCCAAACAACTGCATTTCTGCGGATGTCTATGGGTTTTCTACAGTTGAAAGCCTTGCACTGAGGCGTCCAAGGAAGAACTCTGCCTTCAGATTCAAGACTGCAGGACCAATTCTCCCTGTGGGGCTCCGGCCTGTTGGTCATTTTTCAGATTTTTGATTTGCCTCCCCTCACAACTAAGTGCCTTAAAACCTGTCTCTCATACACCCCTCTAAAAACTCCGTTATTGCCGTGGTTGCTTTCTGCAGAACCTGAGTTCTACCATGACTGGCTTCATCCAAAACCTGCCACTCACTCTCACTCTTGTTACATCCTGTTTATGTTCCCCTTGGCAGTGGCTGGCACCGTAATTACTCCCAATTTTGCTTTGTGTTTAGCAAGCACATTCCCAAGACCGTAAAAATCCAAACACAAATCCAGGGGTCAAAAATGGCTGCGGAACAAAATACCAAGTGACTCACTCTTCAGATAATTTGATGTCCGCAGCATCACAGGTCTTACCATTCTGACAGTCGCGCTGTGTGTGTGTTGGGGCAGGGTGCTGTGCATGCACATGCCACGGCCTGGAGGTGGGTTACAGGACTATTCTCCTGTCCCGGTCTCCCACCTCACCATGCAAATGCTTTTACCAACTGAGTCCTTTCCCTGCTCACAGTAAGTTTTCAATAGACCTTTGCTAATGTTAACTGAACAATACAACAGCCACCCTCAAACGTGTCTTATGGGCCTTTGCTTAGAAGAGAGAACAAGAGCACTGGAAACCTGCAGAGACACCCAGGAGCTGCTTGTCCTTTCTAGTGCGCAGCAGAGTCTGCAGGCAGAAGCTGTGGCACCAGGTGTTAGAACATGAAGCTTCAGTCATCTTTGGGGACACTGCAGAACTGGGTGCCTGGTGGAAGGAATCCTAGGGACCCATCTGAACCCGAGACTGCTCCTAGCTCATTATTTTGGAACATTTACACCCAGCCTGCCGGAACAAGGTCCAAGAATGGAGTCGTGAGAACTGAGTGCTTGTGAGAACACTCAAAGAAGACAAGAGTCTTGCGACCTGTTTCTTCAAAAACTCGGACTTGTTCTTGGAATGTGTTTACGTGCCCCTTCCAGGTGACCTTAATTCAGCTCACTCACCAGGACTGGCTGTCGCTATCTGTATATATGCCTCTGTGGGAAAACACGTTTGTGCCGCACGCGGCTAGTCCCTGTGGTTGTGCACAGTGTCAGCTCGTGGGAACTTTGCCCTCAGATGCTCTGAGTAAAGCTGACTACTGCATGAGACTTTAGTTGGCTTCATTTTTAGGCTCCACTTTCCCAGGTTCTAGCACCAACTAGAGTGATGAGCATCAGCCATGCTTTGGCAAGTGGAAGTAACACTGGAGGAGCTCTTTACCTGCCTTGGGGTCAGTGGACCATCATCAATTAGGACCAATGTCCTTTTTGGTAAACAGACCAAAATGCTAAAAACACAGCACAATGCAGTCTCTGCTACCTCCGGCTGCTTCGGTCACATGGCAAGTCCAGAAGACCTGATGTGCAGGTCAGCAGCACACACGGGCCCCGCCATCCCCACCCTGGCCGAGCCCTGGGAAGTCATTACATATGGAAGGCAGAGAGCACCACAGCAGCTCTGAATAAAACTTTAATAATGTACAGCAGAAACCGGACAGGCTCGTTTTTATATTAAAACAAAAATTTCCTATATTACAATCTATTTACATTTGCATACTGAAGAGGTAAAGTGTCTAAGTGGCTATTTTACAGTCCTTTCTAACAAATTGTACAAAAACAAACAGAAGTACCGAAAAAGCCATTCAGGAGCCTTGACGGCGACCTAAGAACAGGCTTGGACTTGGTCTGTGAATCCAGAATCCAGAGGTGCAGGTAGCCCTGTGGATCAGGGTAGCCTTAGGGAGCCAAAACACAGCTTCAGTTTCTCCCAACTCTCAGCTTAATGTAAAGAGTAGTGGGATGGGGTGGCATTTCCCCAAACCTGCTCAAGTCTTCCTGAGAGGCAGATGAGCTGGACTACACGCAGGGGCGGAAGGGCCCCAGTGCAGGCTAGTGGCGCAGGAGTCACTGTGGGTGTATGCTGGCAGACAGCAGAGGACTCTACAGTTCCATCGTCACCTGTAATCACAAGGTGCAGCTGCAGGTGGGGGCGGGACGTCAGCAGGGGTGGGCTAAGAGGTTCCCCCAATGACATAATTGGGACTCAAGAGAAATAGTTCAATGGCCAGTAAATTGGCCCAAAGAATTAAAGGAAGATCCCTTTAACGCAAGGAAAGAAGTTATACACCAGGAAATAAATAGAAAGGTTAAGAAAACGGGGAGCCCAAGGCAGGAGAAGCTGGGCTGGAGGCAGTTTCCCTGTGTATATTCATGCCTCCCCTGGGGCAGAAAGGGGTGTACAACCAAGGCAGTGCTTTGGGGTTTCACCTGGGTTTCTAAACTCCAGGGCTCATTGCTCTCTGCCCGATGGGATATAGGCTCCTTTTTCCTCAGTGGTCTTAAGAACCGTAATCATAGGCTCACAAAGGCTCTCAGAACCGGTGGCCATGGGCCCTTCTGGTCTCAAAAACAGGGCTCACCCACTCACGATTCAGCTCCTCCTTCAATGATCCTGGTGCAGCACGCAGCAGCCAGCCTGTCCCCACAGGCACTCACCCCAAACTTGCTGAGCAAATGTCTGGGAAGGGCGCAACCAGGTGGACAATGCACAAAAGGCTGGGGTGCTCGAGGGATGGGGTGTGCATGCAAAACAAGACACCAAGTCCCCAGGGAGGAAAAACTCTCACTGCTGAGTGGGAGCAGGCTCAGGTGCAAAGACAAACGTTCCAGTGACTGAACTATGTGCATCTGATTCTAGAGAATTTCTGTGGTGTTTTGTTTGTTTTAGGGATTTCTTTAAAAACAAACAGACTAAGAGGTAATTGTCACATAGAGATGGTTTTCCTTTCATAAAAACTTAACAGTATTAAAGTTAAAATCCTGATCTTCCCAATAAAACAAAATAAAATAAAATGAATTAAAAATAAACCACTCCAGTTAAAAGTTATGGCTTCAAAGTTATATATACCCAAGGTATGCTGACCAAATCACCACCCCCAGCCAAGCTTCCAGAATCCATTCAATACTACACTTAGGTAAACACCATATTCAGCTCAGACTGCTCCCTTCAGCAGGGGCCCTGAAGTGGATGCCAATCTCTCATCTTCCCTCTAGCCTCATCAGAGAATCCAGTACAAGAAGGCTCATGCGGATGCCTCCCTCCCTCCCACCCGACTCCCTCCCCACTCCCTGCAGCCCATCCCTTCCCACCCCAAACCCACCACCACCACCAAAAATATACACTGCAGTGTGCAGACTCTGGGGTGGGACAAACAGATGTCACATTCCAATCCGAGTCCCGAGATCTGGCTTCAGATCTCCTGGCCCTCCCTTCCTCACTGCTGCTGAGGAAGATGCCCTTGGCTGGCTCGTTTCCCACGGCTGATGTTGAAACACAACACCCAAGACTTGCACAACATTCTGTCTCTGCTCATCCTGCTCCCCTCCCCTCATTTTGACCCAAAAGCCTCTCCTACCATGGACAAGTGGGCCAGCTTTGGTTCTGGTCTGAAATGGGAGAGGAAGGTCTGTGACACAGGGTGGCAAGCAGCCTGCTGAGAAGAGGACCACCCTGACAGAGGCTGGGAACAGGAGAGACCTTCAGGAGGGCACCAAGTTAACCAGACGCTGCTCACTGTGACAGAGGCACCAGCACACCTTGGCCTGCACATGCACAGAAAGCTCAAGCAGGTAAGTGTGCACCTACAGACACACACACACGTGTAAGGGCGTGGCACAGACCAGGCACAATGTGGGACACACCTCGGCACATGCACACTTGGCTGGACAGACAGGCAGCAGGTGGCCTCTCTAGTGGCAGTCCCTCTAGATGTCCGTGAGGGGAGGGGATGGTGTGGCTCAGGACTACTGTCAGAGGGGCTACACTTCCGGTTCTTCTCAATACCGTGCTGCCAGGTTGACTGGTCCCTGGAGGAAAACCTCCAGTCCAACAGACCACAAGGCATAGGGGCTGCTCTAGGGAGAGCCCAGCACCCTGCTACCATTCCTGGCTACGCACCAGATGCACTGGGTTCTGTGTATTTCCCACTGCAGTTCAACTTGCGGCATCGAGTTCTCTACATAATTTGCTCTCCGAGACTCCATGCCATCAGGAGGTAAATATAAAAAGTCTGTCTCAAACCCAAAATGGGAGTGTGCGTGTCTCCCGGGCTCTGTCCCTCTTGCAGGCCAGGACTCTGGCCAGAGGGCTGGGCAGAAACAAGAGGTAGGCCTCCGGTACGCTCAAGCACGGTGGCTGCAGTCGTCCTCACTGCCCAGGTTCTTTGTGTAGGCAGCGGAGCAGCTTAGATCTTCACATCTTCCTGCACGCTCAGCTGGGACAGAGTCTTCTTGATGCGCAGCGCTGTCAGGCGGGCAGCACCATTGGCGTACCAGCACTCACGCATCATCTTCCCCATCACCCGCAGCGCCTGCACAGAGAAACCTAAGTGATCACAGAAGCCTTGGCCATTGGTGCTGGCTCGTTGTCACCTGCCTGTCAGTCAGGTGAGAACCACCCACAACATCTTCCTCGCCTCTTCCTACCCTAAGGGGCAGGTGTATAAGGGAGGGAAAGGCAGCACCACAAGGTGGGTTCTTTCAGCCTCATACTCAGCTAAATCCACTTCAAGGTGCCCAAGGTGTATTGGGAAATGCTGTTCCCTTAGGCAATCAAAGGCATTGGCTAAAATGTGAGACCATAATTGTGTTCTGAGGAACAGAGACGCCCCCTAGCGGCCAGGCTCTGTAAAGGTAGAGGCGAACTCCCTACTCATACCTGAAGAGAAAGCCTTTACCCGGCATGGTTTCCAGAATCAGAACTGTGCCTCCACCTGAAATCTGCCCAGAGTAGACCCAGCGGTTCTTATGAGCACAGCTGTAAAGGCCAGTGGGCGAATGAAAGGTGTGCTAACTGTAGACTGCAGTGCTACAACCCACTCCGGATGTGAAGTCAGCACAGGGAACCTCAAGTCTAAGTTTGTCTGTTACAATGAAGCTGCATAAGTAAGAAAGAAAAGCAATGCTGTGAGTAAGGGGCCTGTGCCCTGTGCTGGGCAGACCATGTCCCTGAAGTCTCCAGGACGTTAAGAGTCTATCATAAAACTCCTCGCATTTCAACCACTTCCCCATTTTAGGTGCCTTATGACTAGAATTCAAATTTTCTCTCCACCACTTCACCACATTCTTCCCTCTCAACCTCTTTTATCTGCAGAATTTCTACCAAGACCACCGTCTCAGGCCTGCCTCTGTCTGAGGTACCCAGTCTGAAAGCCATGGCTGAATCTCCATGGCCTATGGTTCCTGGGTCACTTTTCTAGTTTGACAGTTCTACAGGGATGGACCCCAGGTCTTGCACTGGGCTACACCCACAGGCAATTCTGATAGGCCCCCCAGTTCTACTTATTTTTGTTTCTGTCGTTTCTTAACTACCTCTCTTATGGCTTCACCTCCAAAGGGACACTCTCTAATGGCCGGAAAAATGACCATAGCCGCAAAGGACTTAAGTGTGTATAACAGCATAAACTGAGCACCCTGTTATCTGAGCTGCCTGGGACAGGAATGCTGGGGACTTTGGGTACTTCAGAGTCGGGAACAGCTGCATAGACCTCTATGCAGAGAAGGAACCAGAGCAATCTCTGAAAAGAAAACTCACTCACACTTCCTACCTTCAACTCTCAGAGACCTGTAATCCGTGCAGTGTGCCACAACACAACCACGGCCCATCGCTCGAGGCCAGGCACTATGTTAATGATCACAAAGTCTTATATGTTGGACTTTCAGACAAAAGATACACTTGGAAGGCAAACCTCAGAGTTGGTCCATTAAGAAATAAACAAACCCCTCCTTTGTCCCCCGTAGAGAAATTCAGCAGATGGAGGAAGCCCTAAGTGTCAAGCAGGCTCCCTACCTCATAACTCTGCCACCAGTTGGGGATATTGGGTCGTAACTTCTGGTCACAGATGACCTTTCGCATTTCCTCAATGGAAGGGTCGGAGGGCACTAAGTCATAATATGGCAGCTGATATTCTTCATGGACTCCTAGAAGAAAATAACACAGTCACCAACAGAATGAAGGGCAAGTCACCTCAAACCCAATGACAGCTGTGCTTCGAGCTGTGCAATGATTTCCCACAAAAAATGATCCCAGTTCCTCTGGAGAAGGCTGCCGATTCCAGGCACGGCAGCAAGGCGCACACAGGAGCATAGCTGCACATAGTCTGGGCTCCTAGTGCCCTCATATGGGAGGCTGGGGCAGTACTGTGAGTTCAAACTAGTCTTATAACCCACCTCAGAAACAATAGCAAAAAGAGAAGCTGACAAGCATAGCCAAAAAAAATCTTTCATTCATTTAAAAAAAAAAAAAAAAGCACAGAAAATGTTGGACTACTAGGGTCACGTGAGCATTTCCCAATGGACCGAGCTGACAACATCTAAAGAGACTAGAAGCTAGAAGTCTGACAGGAGCAGTAAGAGCGGTCTGGCTGGGACATCTGTCGCCCCATCAATGCCAGGGTGGATTCAGCTGATCTGGCTGGCTAGGTGGGTATCGCCTTCCTCCCTCCCCATTCCATGTGCACCCCGGGCCTCCTGAAGCTACACGCCGTCCCCAAATGGAAGAAGAGCGGTCTTTTGTCAAGGGCACACATGCAGCTGCACTCCCCTGCTAGAACCCGCAAACATGCTCCCAAGGCCTGCTCCATTCTTTTGAGACAGGGTCCCTCTATATAGTCCTGGCTGTCCTGGAACTCACTAAGTAGACCAGCTGGCCTTGAACTCGAAGATCCTCCTGCCTCAAGTGTGCACCACCCGGCCAAGAGAGAATGGTATTTTTAAGCCCATCAGTTCACACTAATGCTAGAAAAAGAAGGTCCGTCCTGTCAGGTGCTGAGAGCAAAGTGGCTCTTGAAAACCCTGGGTGCTGGAAGGAGCGTGTCCTCTTGCACTTCCTGCTGCAAGCAAACACTGTGGGAAGCAAGTGGGTGAGGCTGTACTTTATTATTTTTCCCCTTTTTGGTTCAACACAGTGTCTCAGATGGGGTTTAGGCTGGCCTTGAACCCATGGTCCTCAGTCTGTCTCTGAGGTGGGTTACAGGTGTGGGTCAGCCTAACCCCTGGCTGTCTTCCTTCACAAGAACACAGCTGACTCACAGGAGGTGAAGACCTTGAATCAAAGCTGGCATGTTGGAATTTTAACCTTTGGCTGTCAACGTCACAAAGGGAAGGGCCGACATTCTGCACTCTGTATCAGAAGCCCATACTAATGCCCACAATGTATTTTTGCTTTGAATAAACAAAAAAATCCCAACCTGAATATTATTCTAACTGATATACCAAACTAGCAATTCATAGGAGATATCAGGAACAGGAGGCCACATGGACCTCACACAAGGCAGTCAGCGAGACTACAGGACATGGACTGCAGGTGACCTTCTGAGCCAAGAGACTTAGCGCTGCACTAAGTGCAGTCCAGTCTGAGTTTTATGTGCTGTCAAACCCAAGGCCTCACACAGCTGGGCAAGCACTCCACTAGACCCCGTCCTACCCCAGCATTCCTTTGTGTTTCTGAGGTAAAGTCTTGCTATATGTGGTTATACTGGCCTCAGGCCTCAGCCTCCCGGACACCAGGATTATAGATCTTCACCTCCACACCAGGCCACAGGCAAGGGCTCTACCCCTGGACTCAACCGCAGCACCCTTCACCTCCTGTCAGGGCCTCACTAAATTCACAGAGGCCTTCAGCTTGGAGTCTTCTTGCTTCTGCATCCCATGATGCACTTTTATAAGTGAAGTAACTGGAGTGTTTGAAATTCTTTTTTCTTTTTAGTGTGTGTGTGTGCTGTTAAAGATTTCTGGATTATTATATATACATGTACAGCAGAAGAGGGCATCAGATTCCATTACAGATGGCTGTGAGCCACCATGTAGTTGCTGGGAATTGAACTCAGAACCTCTGGAAGAACAGCTGGTGCTCTTAACCACTGAGCCTTCTCTCCAACCCCCATATTTTAAATTCTTATCCTTTAGATTTACACATAAGAAGCCGTAGTAAGTGCAGGGCAGTGGCAGTGCACGTCTTTAATCCCAGCACTCAGGAAGCAGAGGCAGGTGATCTCTGAGTTCGCAGCCAGTCTGTTCTATAGAGCGAGTTCCATGATAGCCAGGGCTACACAGAGAAGCTCTATCTTAAAAAAATAAAAATGGAAAAAAAGATTTATTTATTTATGTGTACGAATGTCTCCCGATTTATGTGTGTGCACCGTGGGTATGACTGGCATTGGCAGAGGTAGAAAGGAGGAGTCAGGTCCCCTGGAATTGAAGTTATGGATGGTTGTGAGCTGCCACATGAAAGCTGGGGCCGGGTCCTTTAGAAGAGCAGCCGGTGCTCTTAACCACTGAGCATCTCTCCAGCCCTTAGGTAAGATTTTTAAACAGAGAATTTGACGTGGTAATACTTGTCTAAGGGGCAGTTGGGAGCTGGAGCTCATGCCTTGGCCTGCTAGAGTTTCAGCTCTGTGACCTTGTGCGCGTAGCCTTTCTCTCACTCACTTTCTTCAGCTACAAAATGAGAGTGATATTTCTATCTTTACAGCCTTGCAGTGATGATATCAATGAGTACATGCAGCAAGCGGTGGGGAAGTGCTGTGGCTTCTACATAGTCAGCCCTGGCTTTTGGACCACTAGGAAGAGCACACAGACTCCTTCACAGTTTAAGTGTTGTCTGACAGGGCTAAGGAGACACCTCAGTGGTTAACATGCCTATGTGCAGGCATGAGCAACCGACTCACATAAAAGCCAGCACACATCTGGAACCCAGTGCAGAAGGAGAGATAAAGACAAGAGGATCTCTGGAACAGCTCAGCCATTCAGGCTAACCCATGAGTTCCAGGTTCAGTGAGACACCCAGTCTCAAAAACATGAGGTGAACCTCTGGCCTCCACATGTACACATATGTGCACGTACCTATGGGAACACATACATATCACAGATACACAACAATTTTTAAAAAGACCCATGATACTTTTCTTTGTGGAAAGAGGGATGCTGGGGCTTATACCACATATACATACACACGTACACACACACACACACACACATATACACATATATTTGTGTGAATGTATATACATTACATTCTTATATGTATGCATGCATGTATATATGTATGTACATATGGATGTATATTATATTACATTCTAGCTCCAGAATTTTCATGATCAGCTTTACTTAGTCATACCGATCAAAATTTAAGAGGCCCAAACCCATGTCTACCTCAGTAACTCCTCCATTACTTGCGTCTACCACAGACATCACAGTCAGAAAAGGGTAGGAATAGAAAAAAGGTCCTGCTGGAGGGGGCACTCTAGAGGCTCTTGAACTTGAGAACATGACAGAATATTTGGAGGCCATCATAAGACACTCATAGAAGTTGACAAAAAAACATTCCTGCTAACCCTGATGCTACCTTTTCTTCAGACTCTGACGTGAACAAGCAACTGTGGCTGTCGGGCTTGGTTGTTTCTTTAATGGTGAGAGAAGAAAAGGCACTTTAAGAAAGTCCTAAGAGGGCTGGAGAGATGGCTCAGAGGTTAAGAGAACTGACTGCTGTTCCAGAGGTCCTGAGTTCAATTCCCAGCAACCACGTGATAGCTCACACCCATCTATAATGAGATCTGGTGCCCAGAACACTATATATGTAAAATAATAAATAAATTTAAAAAATAAATAAATAAGAAAGTCCTAAGAGCACTTGTCACCCTGGAAAGCTCCACTCTAACTGCAAGGAGGAAGCACAAGGCTTCCCCAGAGACATGGCTAGGACTGCATCTGGAAGGCCTAGAAGTCAAAATAAACTGCTGACTCATAACCCTGGTCCATACACAGCCTAGGGATTCTCCTCCACTACAGGTTACAAAGAAAGACAGTGAGTGAGGGGAGAGGAGGAGGGAGGGAGAGAGAGAAAGAGTGTGTGTGTCACATGTCTAATGAGTTATCAAAATGATTATCACAAAGAACAACACTATTCGACAAGCTGGTCCTAAGGTTAGAACATGAAGAGTCTTGTCTAACATGAACAAAGCCCTTAGTTCATCCTTAGCCCATGCAAACAAACATAACACCAAGCTGCCGTCTCAACACAACTGCCTCCAGGACTCGGGAACCAAACATTCCACAGGCTGTAGAGAAGGACAGCAGGATGGAGGTACCTCCAGAATTGCATCTTCGCGCAATCTCCCAGTATACAAGCCCAAGAGCATAGATATCGGCACACTTGAAGGAGTCAAAGTGCTTCATGTTGATGGTTTCATCAAGTACTTCAGGAGCCATGTATCTGGAATGGCAAGAGGAACACAGTTACGTACATCCCATGAGGTCTGGATGTGTAAGAACACTACTCCAATGCAGCTCTCTGAGAAGCAGGAGTGAGCACTTCTCTTCTGCTATACAACCTGCTTTGAATTCAAGCTGAAAGTTTCAGCATAGATGCTTTTTATTGGAGCCTGCTTGGATTTCTTGGCACTGTCTGTGCTGTGGGACCACACAGGTGGCTACTGGAGCTGTCACTTTACAGGGAGACCAGTGACGGAGCGACCTTAAATTTCATTCTGACTTTATCTTCCCTGACTTCAGATGGGTGAAAACAATTCTAGGTGATCAAAATCATACTTAGTGACTCTGCACGGTGACTGTGTGTAACTATATGATGCAGATACCCCCAGCTACACTTTGGAGCCTGAGTAGATGCAATCTCAGGTCAAACGACAAAAAGGAGCAGCTTAAGTAATCCACTTAGATACAGCACAGACCTTCTCTTTCACCCTCCACCTTACGATGTCAGCTATATAGTTCCTTCCCTTCTCAATGCAGTGGAAAGCAGGCCAAACCCCTCAGGTAGCCAGTCCCCAGTCTTCTTTAGTTCTGCTCCAGCCTGGCACCCTTGCTCTGCAAGCTCAAACATGATACATTCCCTGCCCCCTTCAAGGGGTTCTGTAAGCCACCCTCTACACTGCCGTCAGTCAGGACTGCTGCTACCCTCCAAAACCCTGCTGCACAATCTTTCATTTTTTTGGTCTGTTTGTTTATTTTTTAAAGACAAGGTTTCTTGCCCGGCGGTGTTGGCGCATACCTTTGATCCCAACACTTGGGAGGCAGAGGCAGGAGGATCTTTGTCAGTTCAAGACCTGCTCTACAGCAGGAGTTCCAGGACAGCCTGGCTGTTACACAGAGAAACTGTCTCAAAAAAACAAAAACAAACTCAAAAACTAAAACAAAACACACAAGAGGGTTTCTGTGTAGCCCTGGCTGTCCTGGAACTCGTTCTATAGACCAGGCTGGCCTTGAACTCAAGAGATCTATCTACCTGCCTCTGCCTCCCAAGTGCTGGGAATAAAAGCATCAGCCATCACCACCTAGTTTTTTATTTTAAAACAGATATCTTCGCTATTTGTCTGTCTGTCTCTGTGTGTGTGCCCACCCCCTAAGGAGGTCAGAAGAGGACTTTGGATCTCCTGGAGCTGGAATTATAGGTGGCTGTGAGCCATCCAACTTGCTATGGGCGTTGGGAACACATTTGGGTCCTGTGCAAGAGCAGTATATGTTCTTAATCACGGAGTCATTTCTCCAGTAAGCCTTACCCCAGGGTCTCACTGTGTATTTGAACTCATGGAGATCTGCCTGGCTCGGCCTGCTAAGTGCTGAGACTAAAGGCATATGCCACCAAACCAGGCCTCCTGCTCTAAATTCGTTCCCCACGGCCCTTTGCAAGGGCCACAGCTCACACGGGTCCAGAGAGCTCTGCCTGGTACTAGTGCCTGTTAGGACTACTGTGCAGAGTTCCAATGTGAGGAAGGGAAGACCAACATTTGCCATTCAAGGACAAGGAGACATTTCATTTCCTCCTTCATTTCCTCCTGATGAGTGAGGGCTGAAGCCTAGGGCCTTCCTACCGTTTGGTTCCCACCCTCTGATTTGGAGCAATATCAATGGTGTCAGTAACTGCGTCATGACGGACGGCTAGGCCCAGGTCTGCAATGGCACACATGCCGTTCTTCTTCACCAGGATGTTCTTTGACTTTAGGTCTCGATGAGCAATTCCAGGCTTCCCTGGAAGAGACAAAACCAGGTACATTTAAGGAAGATAAACACATAGAAAATGCATGGATTCTGAGCCAGACTCTGTGAGCCGAGTCCTGGTTTTGCCTCCCATGAGTAGCTCAGCCTTCTCTTCTGGACAGTTAGAACAATGGTACTTCCTGGGAATGTGAGAGAATCAAAGCATTCCCTGAAGTACTTGACATGCCTCAGAATGACACGGTTATTGTTCAACATTATAATACCACCACCCACCAGCCCTGAAGAGCCCAGGTAGACAACTGAACACACACAACTGGTGGTGACTCTGAGGACTGGGACTGACATTAGTCCTGCAACACTAGGGCCTGATTGTCACGCTGGCTTCCTACCACACATAGTAAGAGCTGCTGCCCAGGGCCAATCAAGTCCCAGAGCTCACACCTGCTGCTGGGGCAAGCCCAGGATCTGGAGCCAACAAGACAATCTGGCACGAAGCCTGGTCCTCTTCCAGGAAAGCCTGCAGACAGGTGGGCCCCGTGTCTTGCCACCATGAGACGTGCAAGGCAGTGCCCAACCTCAGCATGAGATTCCTACACTCTTGCTTGTGGCATGCTGACCTCTTCTTAGTTCCACTCTTTCACAGTGCATCCCAAAATGCTATTCCTTAGCAAACCACTGAGCCACGTGTTAACAGCAGCCAAAATCTCACCTCAGACCTTCCTCAGGAGAGGGCTGACGACAGAGCCAATAAAGAAACATGTTTATCTTTTGTTCTTGCTCAGACAGTTTGGCACTCAGATGAAACTACCATTCCCAAAGTTTGGTCCCAGCTACCTCAGTGAAGAGGACCAGATGACGATGGATAGGTCTTTTGTCTCAAGCTTTCTGTTCCTTATCTGAGTTCATGCTCACCTTGAGTGCCCACAATCTCCATGTGCAGGTGTGCCAACCCACTGGCCGCAGACAGGGCCAGCTTAATCATCCCCTCAATGGTCACTGTGTAGCGGTTCAGATAATCAAACAGGGAACCATGCTCGTGATAGTCAGAGACAAGCCACAGCTGGGTCCAGGTGCCGTTATCTGCAGAAAACAAAGGAAGTCTGAGCAGGAGACTGTGACAACAACAAGGTGTGCAATGTAACCAGACAAGGCCAGGTTCAGGACCTTGGATTTACACTTCTTGCATCTACAACTCTGGCTTCCACTGGACCCCACTTCCCTATAGCAACCTCCAGGGTGGACAGGGAACAGGATTTCTTCTTTAGGTCTGCTCCACTATCTCAGGCATCTGATTGTCTGACCCAGTTGACGGATGTTTGGGAAGCCTAGGAGGTGGGGCCTTGCTAGAGGAAGTATGTTTCTGGGGACAGGTGGGGCAGGCTTTCTGAGCCATCCTTCTGCTTGTAGATCAAGATGTGAGCTCTCAGCTGCTGTCCAGCAGCCCCTTGCCTGTTGCCCCTGCCTCATCTTCATGGACTCAAGCCCTGGAACAGTGAGCACAAAGTAACTCTTCTTTACTTTGCTTTGGCTGTGGTGTTTTAACACGGCAACAACAAGTGACTGAGACAGTGGGGAACACTGAAGAGGACTGAGGACAATTCTAAACAATACTCCATTTTACTGCCAAATTTGCAATGTGGGGTAGCCAGGAAAGAACAAAGTGTGCCGAGGGAAAGCAATGGGTTCCATTTTGTTACAACCCTGACATGAGATTCGCAAAGCTACATTTGCCACTGCCAAGGAGGAAACACCACAAAGGCCTCTCCCTTCCCTGAATGCTGGGTAACCCAGAGCCCAGCACCTGTCTCACTGAAGTCTCTTTCCAGCCTGTGGCCATTCTCGGGCCAGGAGCCAGGATGAGAGTAGGAAGAACTCCTTCGCGCATCGCTTCTACAGAACCAAGAACACTTTTCCATGCATGACTAGCCCGAGTAGCCCAGAAAACCTACCCTGCCCTTCAGAGAAGCAATGGAGGTGAGTAACAAGCACTGTATCTTCTCTTTCACATGAGTAGAGGAAAGACAACAGGAGAGGAAGGGAAGGAAGAAAAGGGCCAGGAATCAAAATAGGCTACGCTGCTGTCCCTGGGAAGATTAGAAATTGAACTGAGAGCTCCCAAATTCTGGACTGGTGCTAGTTCCAGGGCATCACACCGAATATATCATGGTAAAAAGGCAAGAAAAAGGAGCCCGACTTCCCTCTCCCTGGTTCTCATGCGGTGTCACTGGCCAGATCCCAGCTCTCATCAGCTGCCAGAATCAAGAGAACCTTGGCACCTCTGACCCAGACAAGCATCTTACTCTAACCAGCAACTGCTTCTTAAGGGCCCACTGGTTTGTTACAAAAAGATGGTTTGGCCCTTCCAATGATTCTAAGATGTTTGCAAGAGTAGGCACTTTCTCAGAGGACTGAGACTCTCTTCAGCTTGGGGGCAGCTGGGGTCATTTCCAACCCCATAGCACCGTGAGGAAGAAGCTCTGTGGTTGTCTTAGGAGCAAAACCAAAGCTTAGCATTTCCCAGAGGCTCAGTGGACACTAGCCTCTAAAGTTACTGTGCCACAGAGCGAGCTGTGTCATGAGTGCCAGAGACTTCTAAAACATACCCAGTTACCTCACAATTTCTGTATTTCAGGTATATTACCTTTCAGGTGTCTGTCCCCTCTTCCCCTGGGATCTCTGTGTAGTTTGTTTTTATGTAAGATGATTTGGAAGCCTGGTAGAGGCCCTGGCCCACAGTGACCAATGTTATTAAATTAATGAACAGCATTTGAATGGTTACCTCTGTGTTGCCTCCTTCACGGATTTGCTGTGCAAGCACGAGAACCTGAGTTTGGATGCCCATCACTCAGATAAAAACCGGGCACAACATACGTCCCTGTAACACTAGCATTAGATTGGTGGGTAGAAACAGGAAGATCATAGGGACTTGCTGGCAGCCAGTCCAGCCAATCGGTGAGCTTTGGGTTTTGTGAGAGACTATCTAAAAACAGCGGGCAGAGAACTGCTGTAGAAAAATCCTTCTCTACACTATGAATGTGTATTACTTTCATTGGTTAATAATAAAGCTGATTGGCCTATAGCAAGGGAGGATAAAGTTAGGTGGGAAAGCCAAACTGAGAATGATAAGATGAAGAAGGGTGGAGTGATAGAAGTTGCCAGCCAGATGGAGAATGAGTCAAGACACACACAATGGGATAGAGGTGAAGGTTACAAGCTTCGGGGCAGTACAAGGATTAATAGAAATGGACTAAGTTGTAAGAGCTAGTTAGTAATAAGCCTGGGCTAACAGCCAAACATTTTGGAATTAATGTATGTTTTTGTGTGTTTATTTGGGACTGGGTGGTTGGGACAAAAGGTGCCATTTACAGAGAACAATACAGAAAGACAAAGATACTGACTTCACACAAAAGAACCACATGAACATACGCACATGCATGCACTAATGCTAACACACACGCGCACGCGCACACACACACACACACACACACACACACACACACACACACACACGCCCAGCATACCCTGGTCTCTGCCTACCTCTCCACTGCTTCTCTCATGTTATCTGCAGAACCCAAACACATCTTACCTTTGCACATGTACACATAGATTTTCCCTTCTGTCCAGTTTTTTGCCATGTTTGTCAAGCTTATATAGGGCCTGCCTTCAATATCACTCACCTAGACTGGCTTATACTTGCCTCTTACCAACAGTTGTTAGTTTACCCATCAATGAGGTCCTCAAAATAGGAACGGGCACAAGCAAAAACCTCAACACTGCAGCAGGACAGTCAGGTGTGGTCCACATATCATAAATTTCAGCATTTGAGAGGCTGAGACACAAGACTACATTTGAGGTCTGGCTGTACTATATGGCAACATTCTGCCTCAACTCCCTAACAAAGAAGAGGAGAGAGGAAGGAGGAGGAGGACAGGAGAAGGAGAGGGAGAAGAGGGGGAGGAGAGAAGAGAGGGAGAAAAGGGAGAGAAAGGAGAGGGGGAGGGAGAAGAGGGAGGAGAGGGGAAGAAACGGGGAATCAGCAGCAGCAGCTCAGGGGCCTTAGGTACAGTCTCACAACTACTAGGTAACACTCCGGGAACAGGCAGGTCTTTGTTCTTCGGTGGCTGCCACAAGAGTATACAATGCTGGCTGTGTTGTAGGAGATGGCTGCATGCATTTCTGTCACCACTCTTTCCTGGGAGGGGGAAACCATAATTCCTTATCACAGGGATTTTCAAAATAAACAAATGGGAGTCCCCCCAGGCCCACACTCGGTGCAGGTGTGGGGTGAGGAGAGCCTTCCTCCTTGCCTAATGACCTGGGTTCCATGTGAGTTTCTCTTGCATAAAAGGCTCCACATTTTCAAAAGGGCTTGAAACCATGATCTCATCCAGACTTCCTGTGTGTGTTGCAGGACAGCGGGGTCTCTCTAGTGCCCCCACAATGCCACTGATTTGGGGTGCTCTGTACCTTTATTGTCAGCAGCAATGAACCCAAGGATGTTCTCATGACGCAGCATGACTGTCTGGTAGATCTCGGCTTCCCGGAACCACGACCGCTCTTCACGAGAAGAGAAGATTTTCACAGCCACGTCACCACCTCGCCAGCGGCCACGCCACACTTCCCCAAACCGGCCCTTGCCGATAATCTCTTGTAAAACAATGGTTCGGGCCACTGTGCGCTGGACAAAAAGGGGTAACCCTGTGGGCCAAAGAATGAAGAGAAAATTTGATAATGCAAATCTGCTAAACTCTGAGCCTGCCACTCAGCATACGTCCCCAGAAAGACCCTTAACAAGGTGTCTCTCCAGGTTCTTCTAGCCCAGTAGCCACAGAGGGCCAACAGTAAGACCTAAGCCATGCTAGGTAACCACTGGCAGGCTAAGTGCAAGTCGGTACAGAAAACACACATGATTAGTTGCCCCTCTGGTCTGTTGAATAAGAAACTTGCATGCAAATCTTTGACCACATTTACAAACTCATCAGTACCTGCTTTATTCTGATGGGAACTGAAAAAAGTGAAAGCAGGGGCTCCCAAAATGGGCACTGCCTTCCTGGCCACCCTGCTCAGTAGCCACTAGAGGGCAACGCTGCATGGCCAACAGGAAGGCTCCAGGTGTACAGGGCAACTACCCACACTAAAAATGACTCACTTGACCATCCTGGCGGGCTCACCAGGGCTTCATTCGCCTCATTCAGTGTCTGTCTCTCTGGTTGTCCAATCACCCTCACCATCATGACTGACTTTACCTTCATCCACTCCCTCCCTGGACCAAATAGCAGCTGTTAGGAATCCCCAGGTTTGGTGGATTTGCTGTGTGCTAAGGGTTTTACAGAAATTACCTCATTTCTTAATGTTCAGAAGGCAGGCATTGCTATTATCACCACTGTACAGACAAGAAAACTAGTAAGGCTCAAAAGGGGATATTATATAACTAGTTCAAATTGATACAAACAAAAAAACCAAGCAGGAATCAAACTCCAGGACTGACTCCACACCAGTGCTCTGCTCACACTGGACAGGACCGTCAGAAGGGTCTGTCAGGCCCATCCTTCCCCTCACGCTCTGCCCTGTCACACTCTGGCCCCTTCTGAAAGGCTTCCCACTGGTCTTTCTCCCTCACTTCCCCCTGCCATTGCCCTACACGCCCACACCAGCCCTGCTCCACCCGCCCTTTCTAACAGGAGACTGGCAAGTGAATGGATCCATCCTCCGCACCACTGCCAAAATTTCGTTTCATCCAAAGTGGGGGAAAAAAGCATTCACTTGCCCATGTAAGAACTCTCAGGGGAAGCTCTGATGCAAGACAAAGTGTGGTCCCACAGCCCTTCATCCTGGCCGCCTGCCTTTGCCTGCGCTAGGCATACCATGCCCAACTCCTTTTTTTTTTAAATATTTATTTATTTATTTATTTTACAATATCCTGTCTGTATGTATGCCTGAAGGCCAGAAGATGGCACAAGACCTCATTACAGATGGTTGTGAGCCACCATGTGGTTGCTGAGAAATGAACTCAGGACCCTTGGAAGAGCAGGTAATGCTCCTAACCGCTGAGCCATCTCTCCAGCCCCAACTCCTTATTGTGAGTCTATAAACACACCAGGAAACCTTCATGGCTTTTTGTTCTTTGCATTCAAAGTCTGTTCTGTGGTCTGGAATGTTCCCTGCCTGCCTGCCTCACATGTACACACCTCTGTAAGATCCCTCAACAACACTGCCAGCCTATCCAACCCTAGGCCAGCTTTTTTTTAACCTTTGTTCTCAGAGGGCATTCAGCACATATTTGTTAAAAGATGGAGTGAGCTTAGTGTTTTAAAGACTCAACACCCAGGCTAGAGAGATGGCTCGATGGTTAAGAGCACATACTGAGCCAGGCATGGTGGTGTGCATCTTCAATCAAACACTCAGGAGGCAAAGAGTAGATCTCTGTGAGCTTCGGGTTAACCTAGTCTACATAGTGAGTTCCAGGCTAGCCAAAGTTACATAGTGAGATCTTGTCCCCTCCTCCCCCCAAAAAAAGTAAAAATGAAAGAAAATGCAACTATTCTTCCAGAAGATCCAAGTCCAGTCCCCAGAACCACATCAGAAGGTGGCTCACAAAGTACAGCTCCAACAGGTCTGACCCTCTGCTCTGTTCCCCTGCAACACACACATAATTAAAAACAAGACCAACACCTTGGAAGCTCTGTACACTCTGTACCAAAGAATGGACTGAACTACCCAAGGGGAAACAGCCATGAACTGCCTTATTCTGGACAAAATGTGCACAGGACTTCTTGACCTCAGCTGACTTGGATCTGAAAACCCTAGGACACCAGAACTCTCTCTCTCAGGCACTTTCAGCCACTGCCCTGCCTTTGGTGGAAAAGCACACGCCAGATATTTCTAGGTTTCTAAAAATACGCAGCTTTTAAATATATTCATGTTGGTGCTCTCTGCTGCCGAGCTTCATAACGGCAAAACCACTAACGTTCAGGAGCTGTCAGCCCTCACAGGATTCCCTGTGTTCTTGGAGGGCATCTGGCCATAACTGATGGCACAACTTCCTTGTAGCCCATGGCAGGGAAACAGAGTCACAGTGAGGCCTGGGTTCCAGCTCGCATGACAACACTGCCTTCTGAATGCTTTATCCATTTTTTTTTTTTTTTGAGACAGGGTTTCTCTGTAGCTTTGGTGCCTGTCCCGGAACTAGCTCTTGTAGACCAGGCTGGCCTCGAACTCCCAGAGATCCGCCTGCCTCTGCCTCCCGAGTGCTGGGATTAAAGGCATGCGCCACCACCGCCCAGCCTTTTTCCATGTTTCAGAAGAACAGAATAGCTCTGACAATATCATTTATCTTCACTGCAGCAGCAGCAACGTGTCTTTCCAGTTAGACGCACATCTAATAGTTAGCTGAGCTGGGTTTGAGACAGAGACTCACTATGTAGTCCTGGTTGGCCTGACACTTATTAGGCAGCCTGCGCTGACCTTGAACTTGAGGCAATTCTCCTGCCTCACTCAGCCTCTCGAGTGCTAGTACTGGGGTGCAGATGACTTCAGCTATGTTCTCCCACAACCACACATTTAACTTTTTTTGTCTTTGTTGGTTGAGCAACCTCGGGTCTTTCCATCCCGAGTTCTAGTTTCATGTCAAGGTCCATAGCTGAGGTCAATGTCTCATCTAAGAAAGCCTTGGACAGGGGCTGGAGAGATGGCTCAGTGGTTAAGAGCATTGCCTGCTCTTCCAAAGGTCCTGAGTTCAATTCCCGGCAACCACATGGTGGCTCACAACCATCTGTAATGAGGTCTAGTGCCCTCTTCTGGCCTGCAGGCATACACACAGACAGAATATTAAATAAATAAATATTTAAAAAAAAAAAAAAAGAAAGCCTTGGACAACAAGAAGCACTACAGGAAATGGGGGCCAAACTATGCTGGAAGCTCAAGCTGCCTTTCTGATAACTCTCACTGAAAGACCATGGGCAATGGAACAAGTCAATGATTCACCAAGTCTCCATTCTAAGCTTTGCTCAGTGTCCTCAAACTCCCCTTGTGGCTGTGCAGAGATCAATGATTAGCTGTCAGCACCTCAGGAATCCAACACACTCTTGTTTGAGGAGCCCTTCAACTGAGCATGCCACTGGTCAGATGGAACCAGCTCAGTTTTCACAGACACACAGCTACAACAGCTGGAGAGAGGCAGAGTTTCTGAAGAAAAAGTTTTGCACTTGACCTCTGGAATTTTGGAGAATGAAAGATTTTCGGTATAGCCATTAGCATATCTTATTACACGTCAGACTCCAGATGAGAATTATGAAACCAAATGACTCAACACAGCAGGGCCCAGCTTTCCTCATAAACACTCTCTCCTGCTGAGAACCAGCTGTAAGGGCCAACACACACAGTGCCTGGAGAACCTAGTACCTGAGCCAGACCCTGACGTGGAGAGATCATAGACAAGATCCTGGAGTGTCTTGTCTTTGGAGAGACACATCTCACACGAGGGATCCTCCATGTCCAGTCTCTGGCGGTTGTGGTAGACACGCTGGTGATAGTTGATGACAAGGAAGACGATGATGATGATGAGAAACAGGAGGAAGACTGGGCCAGCGATAATGCCCACCAGCTCCACAGGGCCCCACATGGAGGGGTGCTCAGGCTCCTTGAGGTGCCCTGGGAAAACGAGTGAGAGGAGGGAAGAACCAGTCAAAACAAGAGAATGGTGTGGCCCAATTTATCCCTGAAACTGTACGTCATGTTAAAGACCCTCAGTTGTGGTTTCCCCTGTCTTCCTGGGCTAGCCTATGCCTGGATACTCTCAGGTGTCACCTTTCCCTCAGTGAACCACCATCCAACAGTGGAACCACACCCACGCTGGATGTTCAAGGTACGTCAGAATTGCAGGCTTGGCCCAGGCTTCTCCAGGCTCTGGTCAGTCTTCCCTCAGAAAGACCTGCTAAAGGGCAGAGCTGCGCAGGGAGCTGTCTACCCTTCTCCAATGTGCTCACCACCCTTTCTAATCCTAGCCTTGCTCACACTAATTCACCCCAGCCCCAGGTGTGTCCCTCACATGGCTCTGCTGCTGACATTCGCCACCCCACAAGTAGCTGGGAGCTCTGGGACTAACTAGGAAATCTCTTCTCGCCTTCTGCCTTTGTCGTCACCTCAAGGAGCATCAAATCCACCTTCAGCTATCACTTAGCAGAGCAGAACGGAGGGACAAGGGAGACAAGCGAAGGGTGTCCACTCACCACTGGGCACCCTGAGGTCAATTTTGTTGCAGAAGTCACTGTAGCAGCAGTGGGTGTTGCGCAGATCCTCAGAGCTCAGGCAGTAGAAGGGCTTTCCGGCAGGAACCAGCTCGACTTTGGGGATGCAGGTGCGCACGTGGTGCTCCATGCCATCCAGGTTGAAGATGGAGACCATGCAGGCCCCATCTGTTTCACACGTGTAGTTGGTCTGTAGGCAGCTAGTACATGCACACAGCAGAGCTACAGGACACGGAGGAGCAGGTATCAACAGGAATGTAAGATCTTCCTTCAGGTCCTTTTCCAGACTCAGAAGGACCCCCTCGGTACAGTTCATTTCCCCCAAATAAGCACCGTTTACAGAAATGGGCAGGAAAGGCGGCCTCAGAAGGCACCTTTGCACTTTAACTTTAGCTCCCAGAAAAAGCTTTGTAGGCCCCAAAGTTCCTAACGGCTCTGCTGTATGCCCATGAAGACAAATGAACCACCTACTCCTTCCAAATGACCCTGCTAGATGGATGGAGCCTTCCCGTTGGAGAACAGGTGCTCTCCACATTCCACACACAGCTACCGAGTCCTGGGGCCACTCTCATCCATGTCTTCCTGGGTACCAGCACCACAGTTTCCAGGACACAGCAGGCATGCTCTCACACATCCTTTCACTGCAGTGTTGGCATTTTGTTTGTTTGTTTTCCTGCCTAAATCCTTTAAAACTCTGCCTCAATTACTACTTCTTTTGGAGTTTTTCCCGGCCTCCATTATCACCTTCTCCCTTTAGTTCATGGTTGGTACCCTTTCATGAGGGCCAAGGAGGATATTCTCCATACAGAATTTGAAGGCCCACTTCACAAAGTTATTGTGAGGAGGAAATGAGATCATGCAAATAAAGTGTGTAATAAATTTAAACCATACCAAAAGGACCCAAGCAGCACTTGGCATGCATATGTACACTCATGTGTGTGTATGTAACACACACACACACACACACACACACTCCCTCCCCTTTTCTCAACTAGGCAGGATACACAATCCCCACTGGCACTAATGAGTTTTGCTGGGTATGTACCACACGTAAGTGTGTGCCACCGGCAGGAAATCACTGTAAATGAACTTGGTGCCTCTGAAAGCTACTCAACAGCCCTGGAATCTGCAATCCTTTATTTATCTGACTAACAAGAATAGCACAGACAGTTGCTGCTCCTCTACTGTCTCCCAAGCCTAACCTAGCCCTGACCTCCTGGGATGGGCAGGAATGCAGCACTGGCTACAATACTGAAGCTGGTACATGCAGTGCTGAATAAGGCACTCACTCACCAAGGGACGGGGAACGGGCGCAAGACCGCCATGGCACACTCGGTGGGAAGGCCTGCACCCTAAGCTCACTACAGTAAAAAGATTTGTGGCCAATCCAAAGGAAAGCCCAGGCTACAAAGAGCTCATCTTCATTCATCTCGTCGTCTATGCTCTGGACCCAAGACAATCCTTTGTTGTTCCCATTCAGGGACACAAGGACACAAGGATTTGGGGGTGGGGGTAAGAGGAAAGCAGATAGACATGGAGCCCTTCCATGTAGGGCCCCATGTGTTTTGCAGGGATTGATGAGATCTCTATCTTCTGAGATGAATTCCCAAACATGCAGCGGCCTGCCCGTAGCTTGGGTTACACTGCTTTTTTTACAGGCAGAGTATTTGAAGCAGGTAAGACAAGGACTCAGATCAGAAAAGGAGTTTTTCCAGCAAGTTTCCCGTGGACCTCAGGTCTAACCTTCTAGACTCGAGATGAAGAAAATCTCAAATTTCCCTCCCAGACTCGTACTTGCAAGTCCTCTCACTTGGTCTGAGACCCTGCACTAAGTACTCCTCTCACTTGGTCTGCTTGTCTGAGACCCTGCACTAAGTAGTCCTCCTGGCCTTGAACCCTCCACCCTCCTGTCTCTACAGTGCTGGGATCACAGGCTCCAAGTCAGGCTCTGTCTTACTCCTCTTAAGAACTTAAAATTTATTCAAGTCTCAGAACACTGCTAGGACCCCCTTTTCTTCCTCCAGGAGTCCTGCCGACCCCTTCTGTGTCCCTTAGACACACATCTCAGCACCCATGTTGTGCCGTCCAACAAAGAAAACAGCAGTGGGTCTATTTTGGGAAACAAGAAAGGGAAATTAGCAACTTCAAGAGACGACTGTTCTGAGCACGGTGAGACACAGCCAAACCCACAGCCACCTTTTCAAAAGCAGTCCCTGTAGAGTCGCCAACTAGCGGGGCAGAGGAGTCAGGAGCCCCCGATTCCGATATTTAGTCTTTTTTTCGTTGGTGCTGGCCTCGTTCACAGTGATTCATTCTGGAGAATGAACACACCCACACGTGGCTCATTATTTTTGGGAAGTACTTAGACAATCTTGGTGTAAGACAGAAAAGAGCAGAAGTGGTGAAATCTATGCTAGAAGGGGCCGAGGATAAGCTAGGAAATGGGCCATGTGGGTTTGTGATAAGGAGCTGGGCAAGTCCCTGAGCCTATCTGGGCCTCAACTATTCAACCAGAAAACACCATTTATCTTACAGAGACAAGAGGGAAATTAGCCAAGCGCCTGCTAAGTGCTGGGGCTCCCCTGAGCAGGGCTCACCCCACCCACTAGCATATCTTTGCCTTTAGCAGCGCCCAGGACACACTCTGAAGATGACCACTGCCCACACTGAAGAGATCTGCATTACATCACCAGGAGCCACAGGGGTACAGGAGTAACAGGTCACAGAGACCTCAAGCCTAAATGCCAGTTCTAATATTGGCCACATGACCTGGAACTCAGCTCGCCCTGCTGCGCCACTCCAGTCTGGGCTGACGCTGTAAAGCAGGCTGTTTAATGGCTGTTCACAGGACCACAGAAACATCACATATGCTCTAAAGAAATCTCAATAGGATATACTCAATAAACAAACTCTCCTTGTAATGTAAAAACTAAAATAAAGAGATACAGACAAGGAAAATGTCTCTTATGCTAAGTAGGAAGTGGCGAGCTGCAGCCTCAGAAAGAAGCTGCTAAACAGTCGTGTGGCCTGTGTGGCTTTGGGGAAGTCACCTAACCTCTCTCAACCTCACTTTCCTCATGATTAACCGGAACAGGGAACTGAAGGAGATGACTTCTCAAGCCCTTTCCAGCAACAAGCTTTCTTGGTTCGCTCTTCAGAAACCATGGTGTCCCCACCTTTCTGTCCTGAGTCCTGGCCCTTTCCTAAACGCCTCCAAAGAAACATTCTTGGCTACTCGCCTGCTAACACTTTTCACTGAAACAAAATAAACAATAATAAAATTATAAGCATGTTCTGAACTTACTACAAACTTAGTATCCTAAATTTAATAATTCTTTCTGAAAAGTTAAATCTGGGCTAATGAAAACAGACCTTTGTGAAGTCTCACGGTGGTGCAGCAGGTCACTCTGCCCATGCTTGTAAACAGTGGCGCCTACAACGCTCCTTACTCTACCACCAGTAAGATACATTAGGAGTGGCAATCACAGCAGAGCCACCACCTCACTCGTGTGTAAACAAGACAGAGGCTGGGATTTTACTCAGCCCTAGAAACTTGTCTACATGTGCAAGGCCCCAGGTTTGGTCCCCAACACTGCAAAGAAAAAAAAAAAAGAAAAAAAAACTGGAAGAAAAGAAAGTGGTCAGAACCTGGGCAGCTCTCCCCAGAACAGACTGTTATTAACGAGTCTAATTAGTCAAACCTGAACCAAAGACAAAGCTGCCGCAGCAGGACTGGAACATGGCTCAAACTCTGTCTGACTGGAAGGTGGCTTGTGGTAAGATGTGAACGCAAAGTCAGTTCAGAAGAAAGGTTGTTTTGAGAAAGGCCAAGCCCCAGCTTGGGGAGACTCTGGCTGCTGTGTGTTCTGTAAAGCCTAGGAGGACAAAGATGCTCAAAGCTGTGCTCAGCCGGGAAGCCCCAGGAATCACCAAGAGCTCATACTCACAGCCTCACAAGACATCACTAGGGGATGCACTAGGGGATAAACACCTAACCAGCTGTAAAGTGAGAGCAACCATGACTCTTTTATTTATTTTTTTTAAATATTTATTTATTATGTACACAATATTCTGTCTGTGTGTATGTCTGCAGGCCAGAAGAGGGCACCAGATCTCATTATAGATGGTTGTGAGCCACCATGTGGTTGCCGGGAATTGAACTCAGGACCTTTGGAAGAGCAGGCAATGCTCCTAACCACTGAGCCATCTCTCCAGTCCAGCAACCATGACTCTTAATTTACTCATTATTCCTTAGGGACAACACAGCATGGAGCATATCCCCAGGGAGGGAGGCACACTGAACCTGCCTCTTCCACATCTACTGGGCAGTCGTCAAGACTAGTGGGTGCAGTTTCTAAAGCATCACTGTATGAACAGCAGTGGCTTGCCCTGGACCTCACCCAACCTCCCTACAGCTCTTTGTTGGTGCTGCTGATGCACCACGCAGGGGCTGTGTCTGGTGGGAGTTCTTTTCTGACAGGCTGATTGATATTTGATACTTGTGGAGTCCAGGGCCTCGGGTTTGCCAGGTAAGAGCTTCACTATTGAGCCATGCAAGTAAGGTCATAGGGTTAAGACAGAGACAGTGGCTTTCTAGTGTGGCCTGGCCCTCTCAGCTGTTGCCGTAAGGGCACACTGCACAGACTGATTCCGTTATTCTATGTCATCCTCATCCTCTTACGTGAAGCCCACAAAGCTCAGAGCTGAGGCAGATCAACTGTTCTGCTTTGTGAGGAAGGCGGCAAGGAACTCACAAACAAGAGTGCACAGCTCCAGTCTCTAGACTTACAGACAGGAGTTCCACAGTATTCTCCAATGCCCCCTGACAATGCACAGGACCCTAACTTTCAGAACCACTGGAAACACCTACCCAGGCAAACTCATCATCCTGCAGATGTCCTCTCAGCCTACCAGGTCAGACACTTGTTTTCCTGAGCAGAGGACCTTCCCAAGTCCTCCTGCGGCCTGACTCCAGCTGACCCGCCTGCATTCTAAGCAGCCGGCTGTGTCAAGCACAACATGGTAGCTGGTCACCCTAGTTTTCAAAGGCAGGTCTGTACATACAGTAAAAAAATGTTCCTTTTTGTTGTGAGACAGGAAGCACATGACACATGACAGTCTTTGACAATTCATATTCCATCACCTCACTCTCTTTATTCATAGACATTTTTACCTCCTTAAAAAACTCCAAATCAGGTGGCACACGCCTTTAATCCCAGCAC